TAACACCCTTGCATTCAACTAGATGGTCCATGTTAATCTACACCTCGATCATCTGATTTTCAGGATGTTGCTGGCTATCTATAAGCTGATTACCAGGCTAATACCCTTGCATTCAGCTAGCCAACACTCTCTGATAATCTAAGCTACAACCCGTAGATTTTCAGAAGCTGATTGGTTGCCTAGAAGTTGATTACCCAGCTAATACCCTCGCATTCAACTAATCAATCTAATCTGATAATCTCACCATAACCCTATGAGATTCTGAGGTCTGTGCGTTTTCCACCACTGTGGATGTTTAGCGATCCTCTAGCTAATACCTCTCCACCAATATGGCTGGTAGTTGGTTATGTAGCTCGTGGGTCCTCAATCCCCGGGAGGGTAAGAATGCAATAAATCGCAGTTTCCCAGTGGGGCTGTACACTAAGTGTTTGGCTTTGTAGTTTGTTTTCTTGTTTTGAGCCTTGCGGGACTTGATCCCGTGACCTGTAATTTGTATGTTTTGTTTGTTAGTTTTGAGCCCTATGGGACTTGATCCCTGAGTCTGTCAGCAGCGGTCTCTTTTTGGTAGCCTTAGGCCATTCAGCCTTTTCCTTTTGCCTTGTCATAGGTCTAGGTCCTCTTTTCCCCCTGTTTCCATCTAGATGCAGATGAGTATTGGGTTGTTGCCTTTGGAGTCTGTGGTAGGTCTAGGCAGAGGGTAGAAGTAGCGGGCAGGAGATTTGGTTTGGGTCTTTTCACGTTTGATTGGCTGGGGAACTCTGCCTGTGCGTTGCTGGAGCGCTGCTGCTCTATTTTGGGCGAGGTCATCTTCTTCCTCGAAGCCCAGCCATAGCTGGGGTTGGGAAACCAAGTTGAAGATCGCACTGCTGCTATTTCACAGCTCCGCATGAGAGCTTCCACAGGACTGTGTTGTTGGGTTTGGGTGCTGCCATCTTCCACTTGGCAGCCATATCTGCTGTTCCTCCTCTTGAGGACCTTTGCCTTCTTCGAATGCTGCATCGGTTGTCTCCTTCTTCATCAGGACTTCCAGCGCTGCACTTCCGTGCGGGTGCTGAGCTGGCGCTGTAATCGTACGAAGTTGCTGGTTCAGATTGGCACGTTGTGACAGCTGTGGGGTTAGTGCTGCTGCGGCAGCCCTAGCCACCCCACCTCCGAACCAAACTCGAAGTTGAACATCTAGGTCCAAATGTTACCACCGCACCTACTATGCCCATGATCACCAAGTACGCTGTGATCCTTCCTCAGGGAAAATACCAGTCGATGCATATGGTCCTTCTCCGCAACCACATTCATTCAAAATTGTTTTAACTACAGGGCAGAGGAAGTTCCTGATGAACTCCCTGCCAAATTCCAACGTCTCCATGATCTATAACCGTAATCCAGCGGATGTCAGACTCTTCCCCACTGAAGAGGTCCTCCCTATCCAGATGGTGCCAAAATTCGTTGCTGTCGAAACAGTTGTGGCCAGAAAACATCCCAGTGCTTCCCCATCCGCATCTGTATGCAAAGTGGATTACTATCCATGTTCAAAGAAAAATGACTGAAAAAAGACTTGTAATGAACCCAATCACGTCTGTCCAGCAGTACAGCAAATCGATAAATAGCAATGTCGCACGAAAAGTGTTCCGGAATAATCAATCAGATGGGAGCACAACAAAACACCCAATCTTCTGCTGCCACATGTACATTTCCCAATCTAAGAGTAACCAGTCTAGATAAGCAATGGGGAAGGATAGACAGATTGGAAGAGAAGAGAGGAAGTAACAATCAAGTCCCTCTTCTCCACTGGGCTCCTCCACCTCTGACAAATCAGCAGTCTGATCACCATCTGACACGTGGAGAATGCAGCCTTATTTCTGAAGAGTGCACCTCCGTTGGAGAACGTCGTCAGCAGCAACATCAAGTGAGGCCAAGTACGTACACAAGACCTCTCTCCTCACCCACACTCTCTCTCCCTCTCCTCACTACCTCGCTGTCGGCAATGGCTGCAATGGCAGTCGTCACCTCTCTCTCTTCTCCTACTACATCACCTGGCTGGCGCCCATGAAACAGACTGGCACCAGCAGCCAACTCTCAAGTCTCACGTGCAGCATTGAAGCCGCGAGCAGCTCCCAAGACCGAATGCCCAAGTGGTGGCGAAGTCAACTCTATATAGCATTAACTCGGGGTCACCAGGGCCAGCTTCGGTCACAGTAAGGCCGGGGTCGTCCAGATGTTGACGTTCTAGATGCAATTTGTCCCAGTTTCTGGCTAGACTCCATGAGGCCTGAATCTTCCGGAGCCTGCAGAGCACTACTAGACCATTACCAATCCACGGCCAGAAAATCTTGACTTTGACATTTTGAATCTGGGTCTGGGTCCACGAGTTGACTGTTGACTTTTCAGTCAACTGTCCGTCTGGCCGTTTCTTCTGGCCTGTTTGGCCTGTCTCGGGGCCTGCTCATTTGTGCTGGCCTGGGCGTGGATGATGCCCGTCAGGGAGGGGGGGGGGGGGTTCAATTTGCAAACGGAGTACAGCAGACTGAAAAAAGACTGAAAAAAATGTATGGCCATGCTAGCTTTCTCGTGAATAGGTTCAATTTTTTTTGGGTACGGTTATTGTCCACTGAAGACAGTTGAAACGGTTTTCAACTTTTCCCCTTTTTGCAGACACAGATGCGGGTCCCAGAGTTCGATCCACAGACCTCACCTCACCTTACCTTACCTGTGTACAATACCGAATCGACCCTGTGAGCCTTGAACCCGAGACCTGCGTGTTAGTAGTTGAAGTTGTCTGTTGTAGGTCTGCGTAGTTGTAGGGTCTCGAACCTTAGACCTGTCGAAGTAGGGGTCACACCTGCATAGGGGTCGTAGTTGTTGAAGTTCTGAAAGGTCAAGGTCGTAGCTGCTACAATCTTCAAAGGCGAAAGTCCTCAAACTTCCGGAAGGTCCGGAAGTGGCCTTTCAAGTTCTTCGCACGTTTTACACAGCACACCAGAGGCAAGTGGGCAAGTGGTGGAGTCCAACTTTGCTTAGTCAGCGGTACCCAGTCCCAGTCTCACTTTGCACAGTCAGCAAGTACCATGAGGGACTGTGTGCACCGAGGGCCCAGTGGAAAGGGGCAGATCATCGAGTTACAGAAATATAAATCAAGAGGCAGTGTGCAGCCATTCATTCATTCTTGCATGAGCCATGCGGAAGCGCTGCCCGAGCGTCTTGTGCGAGGTGGTCTGCAGGGGCCTGAAGTCGAAGTGGGCTGAAGGAGAGTTAGCGCAGCCACAGCTGCTTGTAGTTAGTAGTAGTTGGCGGCCATAGCTTCCATACCTAGGGATACGAGTGCATGCGTACGTGTGACATAGTATGTGCGTGGGGTATTCGGGGTGATCCGGAGTTGAGTTGGTGCGAGCGGTGGTGTCGGGAACAGTATCGCGAGTTGGGATGTGCAGGCGCTTGTGCGCCATAGCCTGTTGAAGCGAGCTTGCATCTGAACTGTGTTCGCGGTTTCCATATCTCCGAGTTTCGAGTGGGCGCTGAGCGCCAGTGTGAATCACCACCTGTTTGCATGTATGAAAAGCGAAGAAGAAAGTGAGTCTGATTGCACTGGTATCGGAGCAGGTTCCCGTTATTCCACGCGCTGCTGCTGTTGTCGACCATTGGGCGCCATAGCAGAGCCGCGCTGTTGAAGAGGGAGGTTCGCCATAGCCGCGCCGTAGGAGGGAGGCGCCGCATACCTGCACGGAAGACAACAACGAGAGAGAGAGAGAGAGAGAGAGAGAGAGAGAGAGAGAGAGAGAGAGAGAGAGAGAGAGAGAGAGAGAGAGAGAGAGAAGANAGAGAGAGAGAGAGAGAGAGAGAGAGAGAGAGAGAGAGAGAGAGAGAGAGAGAGAGAGAGAGAGAGAGAGAGAGAAGATTGTTGTGCGGTCCAAGAAGAAGAAGAAGGCCATAGCCTCGGAGCTCGGACACGAAGAAGAGTGAAAGAGAAGGCGAAGTGAAGGAGGGAAGAGAGACGAGAAAGGAAGAACAAGCCATAGCTGAGGAAGGAGGAAGGAGGGACAACGAAGGAGAAGGTGGATATAGCCGGGGGTGAAGAAAAGGGAAGTGAGAAAGAAGAAAGGAGGGAGAAAGAGAAGTGAGGGAGCGTGCGAGAAGAAGTGCCGGCAGCCATAGCCGAAGTGAGGGTCGACCGGGCGTTGACCAAGGGGTTGACCAGGCGTTGACTGAGGGTTAACCGGGCGTTGGCTGAGGGTTGACCGGGCGTTGACCAGGCGTTGACTGAGGGTTGACCGGGCGTTGACCGAGGGGTTGAACGGAGCGTTGACCAAGGTTTGACCGGCGTTGACCAAGGCATTGACCGGAACTGCTGACCACAAAATTGACCAAGTTGGAGTTCGTATAATCTCGCCAAGCCCTCAGCCTAATCCCTTGCCCTATGGATGTGCACTCACCCCATGGTACTTGCTGAGTCTGTTTGTCTCTTCTTTCTGCATCGAGTCTCTTCTGTCCAGGTCATAGGAACTCCGTGTATGAAGGATAGAGCTGCGTTGACCAAACCCACACGGGCTGAGTAGGGCTTAATTCCATGTCTGACGACTGACACGTCCCGGACGACAAACCCTCTCAAGGACCAGTACTGACCAGCGGGCCGAACAGTGTGGCATGGGCGGCCCAAAATCCGAGCTGTGGGCCGCACAACCGGTTGTCTAAGTGTTGAGAGGACTTGCTGATCGCGTCGTCCTGTTTGCGACGTTAAACAATTCCTGAGTTATGGGGGATCTCCTTAAATGCCTCCTGATCAGCACTAAGTCCTGTAGTGACAACTTAGAAGTAGGTCTAGGTTAGTGACCATAGTTGACAGGGTTCTGAACCAGAGAGAAAGCCAGGTGGGATTGACCGCAGGTGCTGGGCATCTGGATCTGGATGTAAAGGACAGTGGTGGCGAAAGCTTCCGTCGGCCGTGGTAACCTGGCTGGATCAAAGGGTAAGGCTCTGTGGTCCTTAGAGAGTTAGTCAGTCAGTCAAGTGGGTAGGTCTAAGTGGTGAGGAGCGGGATAGTCCCTGTCGTGCACGTAACACCATGGACGATTACCCTATGTACAGCTTGCTCGTGGGGTTCTCCCTGTGGGCGACCCTCTCGCATCTCCTCTTTCCTCTGGGGTTCTGGAACACATTCACGTGTAGAGTAGAGACTCGGGGTGGTGTCAGCACCACTCCCTACACCCCGGAACAGGAGGAGGAGGCTGCGAGGATCTTGGCCGAGCAGAAGGCCAAGAAGGAGAAGAAGGAGAAGAAGGAGGTGGTGAAGCAGGCCAAGAAGTTGGCCTTGTTGCAGAAGCAAGCCGCAAAAAGAAAGGAGTTGAAGGAAGAGTTGGAAAGGGTAAAGAAGGAGGAGGAAGAAAATATGAAAGTAGTGGATGCAGAAGAAGAAGAAGAAGAAGAGAAAAAGGTGGAAGAAGAAGTGTCCCTGATTAGGAGAAGTATCAGGGACATAGGCGAGACGAGTGGCACAAAGAAAGAGGATTCTTGGCTGGAGAAGAAGGTTTCTGAATGGGTTGCCAATCTGTCCCTGGGAGAAGAGGCGGAGGTGATGTTATATCTTCCCAGGGAAGAACAGGAGGCGGTCGTGAAGGAATTGGAAGCCGAGGAAGATCCCCTCAAATGGCAGACGATAGAGGAGGAGAAAAAGTTGGAGTGGAAGCTACGTCTGACTAGGGAGAGGAAGAAAAGAATGGAGGCGGCGAGTCAGGCGGCGAAAGAACGGGAGGAGGTGAAACGGATGAGGGTGCAGATGGAGGCACAGGCGGATCTTCAAGGGAAGATGGAGGTAATGGCAAGGAATATAGAACGCCTAGCACAGGTCCAAGAGGAGCAATACCTGTTTGGGAGGAGTCAGGATATAGCCCTGCGATCGATTCGACTGGGGTTTAAAGAGTTTGCACGTGAGATAATCATGCACGTGGGCTCAGAAGTGCATACGCGATTAGAGAGCACCGGGCGATTTTGTACTGGCGCCATAGAGGGCGCCAAGTTGGCTTCACCAAAAGAGGCGGAAGCTCGACTCGGTAGGGAGCTCGTTAAGGTGAAAGTTCCCCGACTCCTACAGTGGAAAGGAGGAGGAAAACTTTGACAACTGGGAGGCCAATGCCAACTCCTACGTGCACCTGCAAAAAATATCTCCTGACGAACATGTCCTGATAGCTTTCCATGCCCTCAAAGACGAAGCAGCAAGCTTCGCCAGGTCGTTGTGTCACGTTGCTAATTGCAATAACGATATGGTTGCTTATTCCGCTCTTGTTCTAAGCGTGTTTTTGGAATACACATAGAGAGAGAAGGAGCATAATTGGAATTGACRTATGATATTCCTTTTGTTGCTATTTCACTTTACTGCTTTTTTTTTTGCCCCTCATGAATATAATATAGAATAGGGTATGGGGGGCTTTATCTTAATAGAAGAGAGTTCTCAGTGAGTTTTTCAAACTATTGCGCGAAAGGTTTGCAGATGTCACACAAAGCGTTAGAGCTTCTGACAAACTGCAGACCATCCATTCCCGCCAGTGGAGGAGCACCAGGGCACTCAAGGGTTGTCATTCCTGATCATGGCGTCATTGAGACCCAACTAGTCAACCTATTATATCGTGCCATGTCGGAGCCCTTGCGAGGGCACTTCTTTGAGAAGAGTAGTGAGTCTACCATGACCTACGATACTTTGAGTAGGGAAGTGGTAGCATTCAAAGCGCGGTCTATGTCAGTTTCCACTTTTTGGCATAAGGACCTCGACAAAGGGAAGAAGTGGAAGGGTCGTACCATCTCAGGTCAGGTCAAAGGCAAGGATCACCTGATCCTTACATTAGATGAGGGCAGTATGGAAGAGGTCCCATATGACCAGATAGAGTGGGGCCTAGAAGAAGAGGACAGTAGCGCCAGTCAGGGGAGGACTTACGTTGTTGTTGCGGCTGGACGGAGGCCGCAAGGAAGAGGGAGAGGCCAGGGCCAAGGGGGCCGGGCTTCAGGTGGTCGTGGACAAAGCGATCAGGGGGTTGGTGGTAGAGGAGGCCGCCAAGCGGGAGGTAGGGGTCAAGATCCCCTACAAAACCACTCTAGTTTTAATCGATCACCTTATAGGAGAGGTGGATGGCACCCTGGTCTGCCCCAGGGCAGGCCTTGGGAAGACCTGGGCTTGGAACAAAGGAGCAATTAGAAGAGCAGGTTTTTATGACCTATGTTAGGTCGGTCACTGAGCCTAAAGAGGAGAAACCCATAGATCTTGCTATTGCCAAGCTGCTCGAGGAGTATACAAACTTAGCTAAGCTGCCTACAGGAGTAGTGTCGCGGCCAATCCAACATCACATAGAGATAGAGCCTGGCAGTAGGACTCCTAAGGGAGCTATCTACAAAATGTCCCCAAGGGAGTTGAGGAGTTGCGCAAGCAGTTAGACGAGCTCCTCGAGAAAGGTTGGATTAGGCCCAGCTCGTCCCTAAGAAGGACGGAGAGCTTAGGATGTGCATAAACGATAGGGGTCTTAATGCTATCATAGTAAAGAATGCAGAACCACTCCCCCAGATAGATGACTTGTTAGATCGGGTGCGGGGCTGCAAATATTTCTCAAAGATAGATTTGAAGTCCGATTATCATCAGATAGAGGTTCATCCTGATGATCAATACAAGACAGCATTCCGGACTAGATATGGGCACTACGAGTTTACAGTGATGCCCTTTGGACTAACCAATGCGCCAGCTACCTTTCAACGCGGTATGAATGATTTGTTTAGGCCATGGTTAGATAGATTTGTTGTACTGTACTTAGACGATAGTTTAGTCTTCAGTAAGACCCTCTAGGAGCACGAGGGTCATCTGAGGCAGGTCTTGGAGAAGCTCAAAGAGGCTAACTTCAAGATCAACGCAAAGAAGTGCGAATGGGCCAAGACACAGGTTCTGTACTTGGGCCACGTCTTAGACGAAGACGACATTAGACCTGAAGACCACAAAATCGCAGCGATTAGAGATTGGTCAACGCCCCGCACACTGACAGAGTTGCGGTCGTTCTTAGGCCTAGCTAACTACTATAGGAAGTTCGTTAGGAACTTCTCCACCATCGCTGGACCCTTTCGCAGGTTGCTAAAGAAAGAAACAATCTGGAAGTGGGATAAGGACTGTACATCAGCCCTGAAAAAGTTAAAGTGGGCTTTGATATAGTGCCCAGTCCTTAAGGTAGTCGATCCGTCCCTGCCTTTCGTTGTTACCAACGCGAGTCAATATGGCATAGGTGTTGTTTTACAACAAGACGATGGCAATGAATATAGGCCCGTAGAGTTCATGTCTGCCACGATGCCTTCAGAGAAGGTAGCGACATCTACCTATGAGAAGGAACTCTACGCTCTCAGGAAAGCATTAGAGCATTGGAAGCAATACTTGCTCGGGAGGCACTTCAAAGTCTATTCAGACCACGAGACATTAAGATGGTTGAAGACACAGGCCAAGATGACGCCTAAGCTTACTAGGTGGGCCACAGAGTTAGATCATTATGACTTTGAACTTAAGCCAGTAAAAGGGAAGTATAATGTAGTTGCGGATGCTCTAAGTAGAAGAGCTGATTACTTTGGGCCGATAATTCAGTATCTGGGTATAGGTAGAGACCTGCAGCAGAAAGTTAGACAAGCATATGCACAAGACCCTATCTATAGTGACCTCCTCAAAAGAGTTAAGGAGTCCCTAGAGTCTGAACCAGATTATCGCACTACTGACGGATTGGTATTTGAGCAGACTAATGTAGTTGACCGCCTATGCATTCCAAACAGTGAAGAGATCCATAGTTTGATCTTAGGGGAATGCCACGACACAGACAGACACTTCGGTTGGCAAAAGATACTAGCCAACCTCATGCACGCGTATATCTGGCCTGGAATGAAGGCCGACTGCATAAAGTATGTGCGTAGTTGTAAAGTCTGCTAGAGAAACAAGACTACTACGTGAGCCCCTCTTGGTCTTCTCGGACCCTTGCCTATTCCTGATAGACCCGGAGATTTTGTGTCCATCGACTTTATGGATACTCAAGTCAAGAGTAGGCATGGCAAAAGTCAAGTCATGGTTATAGTTGATAGGTTTAGCAAGTATGCAGTTTTTGTTCCTCAACCTGCAGAGGCACAAACAGACTTAAAGGTTTAGCAAGTATGCAGTTTTTGTTCCTCTACCTGCAGAGGCACAAACAGACTCAGTAGTTCATAAGTTTTTTTATCATTGGGTCAGTGAACATGGTATACCATTGTCGATAGTTAGCGACAGAGACACCAGGTTCACCAGTCAGAACTGACAAGAACTGATGAAAGTTTATGGGTCAAAATTGTTAATATCATCTGGCTGCCATCCCGAGACCAATCGTCAAACGGAACAGATGAATAAAATCCTGCAACAAGTTCTCAGAATGTACATCAGGCCCGATCAGATCAACTGGGATGAGATGCTCTCAAAGGTAGCCAGTGCCTACAATAACAGCGTGCACCTAGCCACGTGTCGCACTCCCAACGAGCTGCACAAGTCCTTTAGACCACAGAGACCGTTTGAGGGACTGAACCGGGACCAGATTCAGAGGTTACCGCCCGGTACACGAGAGTTTGCGATACAGCACGAGAAGAAGATAGCTACTGTTGTAGATAACCTCAGGAAAGCCCAGCATAGAAAAATAAAGCAAGCTAATAAGCACCGTCGCCCCTCACAGTTCCAAGTAGGCAACTTAGTCTGGGTTAAGTCCAAAGAATTCATTCCTGAGGAGAGCATCTCACAAAAGTTACTGCCTGCATACCGAGGACCGTGGCCGGTCTTAGAAGTTAAGGGCGGAGAGGATGGACCGTCCTACACAGTTGAAATTCCAGCACACCTCCACACCTACCCGGTGTTTCATGCGCCAAAGTTGTTGCCTTGTATCACAAGTCAACAGTTTCCATCACGGAGGTCCATGATTCCTCCGGACATGGACGGAAGATACGAGAAGACAAAAGTGGCATTTTGAAGAGGCCCAGTAGTTGTAGGCTAGGTCTAGGTGGGTACTGGTCCAACCAGTCTGAGTCTAGGGCCTGTACGGGCAATATCAGAGTCCGCAATGATGTTTCCCTCCGAAAGGGAGGAGGTACCGGTTGCTTGGGAAGGCCGAGCGACCTGGAAGTCAACGCCCAAGAGGCAAGCAGGCCGCTATATCTCTAGGCCGGGCGAAGAGCCCAGCCTCCTTGTCAGTGTGCAAGTTTGGCGACACACTGATTGGAGCGCTGGCTGGAGCAGTGCTAGCTTGGAGCAGCGCTGCTGGGGAAGAAGCAAGGACTCGGAGGAG